CTGTAGCTATGAGCAAATGTCCTACAGGTTGAACAGCCCTAATCCTAAAATCCCAAAAGCAAAATACCCCAAATATGAAATTTTCCAAGCAGTGATTGCAGTCCACCTGTGTGGAAAATACCATACTTGACCTCTCCACACATATTTCAACATTTTAAAGGATGGCTCAATACATGTGACAATCAGAAGAGCAGTCACAAAGGTCACACAGTACATTTTGATCTACCTGGTTTCTAACTTTTTAATCTATGTTTGATTATATTACATTTTTCCTCCTCACAGTTGGATCATCCATCTTACTAGTCTTCATGTCACATTTTCATACTTGTCCTTACTTATTTGACAGTTCTTTCTTAATTAAATACATCACTTTCCTTTGTTCAAAAAGCAAAATCTTGAAAACACTTTTATGTGATTTCATCTAAGTAAAATTATAGTCTCTCCCTCACACACACACGTACACACCAGACTAACATGCAAGTACTCTAAAATACTGTATAAGATTACTTTCTGTATATCCATATAAATTATATATGAAAAAATTAAATTTGAGTTTATATTTGAGTCCAGTCCTCAAGACATTACATGTACTCAGATAAAGCACCCAAAATGACCAACAAAATCAATTCACTGATAAAAAAAATCTGGAATATATTATGTTCTTAAATTTTTATTGAGGGTACTTCACTGACCTGGCTTGTATAGTTTTCAACTCTGCGTACTGTTGTGCTAGAGCATCTCTACAGTGTTTCTGCTTCCTTATCTCAAACAACTAGGACACAGTTTATTACATTCTAAACACTTAACCACATTATTTCTATTCAGTGATTGTAAGAATGACAATTGGAGATACATTATATACTCCATTATCTCTTGCTCTGGAGAAAAAGCAGGAATGATAAACATTAGTCATAGGCAGTGTACATCATTTTGGGTGGATCCATGGTACATTATATTCTCAAATGTACTTGCCATCTCACAAGGGGAACATTAGAGAAACTATGTTCCATCTGGCCTGACTCACTGGGAAAATACCTATTTGATGGCACTGTATTTACCAAGCCTTCCTGACTCCCATCTCTCAGAGGCTATTATCTGCCTTCCTCAGCAGATGTGTAAACTCCTCCCTACGTCTTGCTGGTCTGACTTCAAATCTCCTTTTGACAGTTTTCACTGACAGGTAGAAAGGCCTCCCTGCTTCCTAATCATTAACATTTTAACTCCTTAAAATGATGTTATAGCATGACGCCCAAGTCACATAGTTCAATTAATTCCAATCATTCTCTGGTCCTACACATTTTTATCTAACAAAGACTGCTCAGTTGCCTCGGTGCTTTCGGTAAGTTCTCAGTCAACTATAAAGCCTATAAAGAAGAACTGCAAACTGCAGGTGTCAATACAGTCCAAGTTTCCTTCAGATTCGTGTGTCATGGCCCAGGTCAATGTGAAAGGATTCAGGAGCAAGTATCTCTGTCCCCAAGGGCTCAGAACTTCACCAGATCTTTTGCATTTATTTAATCTCAGTATTTAGTGACCCTGTATTCTTCCAACTTCCAAGCCTGGGTTTGGTGTGGATCATTAAATACTGAACTCTACAAGCAACCATAGGTTATAAACATGACTAGGTGATTCTTTGTCTCAGTTTATGCCTGTGTAAAAAATCAACATTCTTCTAGTTTCTTATGATAGTGACATCATAAGAACCCCGTGACACATATTTTACAGGATTCTAAACTATTTTGAGTGTCTCTTTAGCTACAACCACCGTGACTGTCACTTGCTATAGTAAGAATGAGTCAATCAGGAAGACATTTTGCCAGTTCCCTTGCAGCCTTCCACTTCCTGTTGACTTTGGACTAAAGAACTGTTCTCCTCGGGCTTGTAGAAACCTTTTGACCTAGATAGTGCTTTAAGGACAAGGACGTGGCATTCCACACAGCTGTGGAAGTCACTTTTCTCCTCCCACATGTCCCAAAGTGTTCGCTCTGTAAAATCAGAGATTCCCTTTACATCGGATGATATCCTTCTCATGGATATGAAACACACATGTTCTTCAATTTTAAGGAGTAAATTCCTCCCTAACAATCTGACTTGTAACTATCCCTCTTGTTCAACTTTCGTTCCTCAGTCAATGGTCACAGCAACCTTCAGGATTCATCCCATTTAGCACGAAACAGAGAAAAGTACTAGCACACCAAGAGTGTCTCTACCCTGTGCCTAAGGATGTTACACTACAGAGAAATATGAGACCCCTTCAATTTCAATTTTAGCCCCCAGTCCATTGCTTTGAGGGTACTGACTGAGTGCTACCCCTTCCTTGGCTAAGAAGCTTGCTCCCTAGGAATCACTGCAAGGCGATGTCTAATCAGTATGACTCCTTCTATGAAAAGTTGTGCCCTTTGAGCTCAGCCCACTGAGTATTGATGAGAAGACCATAACTTTCAGTCCCACAAGGCTGGTCCCTATTGCTGCTTCCTGACCTAGGCTCACACACTATGTGATAATAAGTGTCAGGGTTGCCAATGGGAATCTGGTTAAGTGTGATGTGAGCAGGCTCTGTGCTATCCTACAAGGAGCTAGAGATCTCTCTCTGTGTTTAGACCCCATCCCATCTAACCTGCATCACACTTCTTGACACAGCCCTGTACCTTTCTTATTGAAAAAGCAACTGAGGCTCAGAGAGTTTCAGAGAATAAGAAATAAAATCCAGATCTCTGATTTCCAAGAGTATTTTCCCAACACCACATCCAACTTCCAAAGAACAAAAATTAGCTGCCTCAATTCAAAAGGCTCAGATTTTATACCAGCAACAGCAGACTAAAGCTGGCCCAGTAGCAGAGAATAAGAGATAGAAAAGGCAGCCATCATCACTGAGGGAAGACTTTCATTCAGTCCTGCCTTTGACATTTATTGTACTCCATTTTAGAGATGTATTTCATGGTATTCACAAAGGAATCCTTAAATTTGAAGTTAGCTTTCCTTCAGAACATGAGCCTGGCGAAATAGTCACTAAAATTCCCCTTCTCTGATAGCCTGTGGAATGCACTAGGAGGGACTAATCCTAGTCTCGCAAGAATGTGGGAGCATGCTGATTGCCCTCCAGAACCTGTTGGCTATCTCAGAGATTTATGCATGCACTGAGCTGGCTCACAGATCATGCTCACCTCTGCCCAACTCCTCATTCCAGAGGTGGCTTGAAACTGGCCACCAACACAACATGTAAATCAGTAAGTGAGACAACCCCCACCTTTGTTCTTTCCATTTTTCTCCCACCCAGTTGGTGCTTAAGCATTTACCTTGTTAGTTCTGACTATTGTTCTTAATTGCTGTTATCAGTAACACCAAGGGCACTTTCAGACCAGGCTAGTCTTTTTAGGAATGTGACTCTCCCCTTTGACATGAAGACAAATGAAAACAGGACAAGTTATAATGTGCAAAATATCCCAGATTATTGCTGTAGTTTTCAGAATTTTCTAGACATGAAAGAGATCTTCTTTAAACTCCTCCTAGAATCTTCAGGAAAAATAAAGAATTTGTTAGATAATGTCAGATAAACAAGAGAAAATAGGGCAGGAGGGAAGACATATTTATCAAGAGTCCTTTCAAAGTTTGCCTCAAATTTCCCTATTAACCTTGTATAAACTTTCAACATTGATATCTGTTATATAAGCAAAACATTGGCTGTAGTTTAATATTTCTAAAGAATAGAGGACTTTATTAGCTGTGCTGATTATGTCTATGTGGGAAGGGGTTGGCCAAAGCTTCAGCATCAGCCAGTGTATAAAACAGCATAACCACCGTCTTGGAAATGATGTGGCAGTATCTAATACCTCTCTAAGCAAGAATGGCTAAAACCACATCTCCCACAAAGCATCTTCACAAGCTAAAACTTCATGGTATTTGTATGTTGGATGTAAAAGTTGCACTAGTGAGAACACAGCTACATGTATGACAAAAAGAAATAGTTGAGAAGAAACACAAACAATAAGGCAGGTGCAATGTCATAGGCTTCTAGTCTTAACATTTAGGACGATGTAGACTAAGGGGGATTAGGCCCTTTGCTACATAGCCAATTGGGAGTCAGTCTGTCCTACATTAGATCCTGTTTCAATAAATAAATAAATAAATAAATAAATAAATAAATAATGAAGAGAATGAACAAAAGCATAAAAGTAAAGGCTACTTCTTTACAATCTCATGCATATGAAATTTAAAAACTGACAAAACTTACTTATGGGCACAGAAATCAAAAGTGCCAGCCAGCTGCCCTGCCATGGCTCAGCCTTCAAAGAAAAGAACCTTTTGGAATGATAAAAATTCTAACTCTTTAGCGATGAGGAGATGGAGGCAAGAGAATAAAAATTTAAGATCACCCTTGACTACATAGTGAGTTCAAAACCAGCCTAGGATCCATGGTATGGTTTCAAAAGAAAATAAAATGTATTGTGATTCTTGACTTGGGTGGTAACTTCTCATGGAATACATTCCATCAGTCCCTACCTTTAAAAACTCTACTGAGTACAAACCTCTACTGAGTGTCATCCTGCTGGATTCAATGTATAGATACAGAGATGACCAGTCTCAGATTCCATAGTGATGAACCCGCTTGGGTAAGAACAGTGGATCTGTCTTTCCCTCAGCCCTCACTGAATGTGCTCTGGGATTGAGGTTTCTTTGTGGCAAAGGTGCAAATTGGCATATTGAGCAATCCATCCTTGGTGGGTCATTTCCCTCTGGCTAGCCAGTTTCCCATTATTGACACACAGGCATTCCTCGGGTATCCCCCTCCCCCTGGCTACAGGCGAAAGTTTGGAAGTTAGGCTCAACTTCTCAACTCCCGGGAAATTCCTCTTGGGACACAATGCGCGTGCGGGGGCGGAATGGCCATTGCCTCAGGCATGAATCAGTTACACTTTTGCGCTCCGCCCCGTCGGGGGTCCAGGGACAGTCTGCTTAAAGGCTGTGGCAACTGGCGCTCTCCTCTCTGCACACACCCAGGGAGCCACAGCTCCACCAGGCACAATGGACCCTGCTAAGCCCCTGCCGCTGTTTCTTCTGCCTCTGCTCCTGGTGGGCTCCACTGGCGGTCTTGCTTCAGCATCCGCCCAAGGTATGGGCTCGGGACCCATCTTAACCCTTTTCATCTGCCTCCCAGGGACTGTCTTTCTTGCTAGGCTGTCTCCAGGTCCCTGCCTCCACCAAGGGAAGTCGTGCAGAAACTTCTGCTGATGAGCTCTGGAACCAGACCTTCCAGTCCCTGTCAGGCACCAAATCTGACCTTCTGTCCTGTTGCTCTCCTTCTGATTACAGGGAATAATTTAGAGATCTGCCTCTTGCCCTTGGAGAAGGGACCTTGTCGGGCCCTTATCCCCAGGTTCTACTATGATAGGAACCAGCAGACATGCCGAGAATTCAAGTACGGAGGCTGCCTGGGCAACGCAAACAATTTCCACAGTCTGGAACTCTGTGAACACACTTGTGGGAATATCGAGAGTAAGTGTTCTGGGGTGCATCGCACTCAGCTAGTGTCTGTCTCAAGGGGAGGGTCAGGGCTCAGCTCATTTTCCAGATCTAGTTGAATCTGTTAACTTTTATCCTAAAGTTTCCAAAGTTCTAAAAAACTTCATTGGCTCTTCCCCCATCCACTCCCGTTCGATATTAGTTTTTTTGTTTATTTGTTTGTTTGGTTGGTTGGGTTTGTTGTTTGTTTTTGTTTTTTTGTTTTGTTTTCTTTTGTTTTTTGAGAATTTCAGAAAACGTGTTGTGATCATTTTCAGCTCGTTTCTTTCAGATCCACATGCCCTTTCCTACTCACACAAATTTGTGCTTCCTGTAACACCAGTAGAGTTCATGCTGTCCATATACTCTTGGATGTGTGGCCTTCACTGCTTTTAAAGAAAACTGACTTTGCCCCAACATCAGCTCCTTAGTTAGGGGTGGGACTTTGTACCCATTTCCCACATGGTTACTTTTAAGTTTCCCCAAAGTAACCCTAAATCCACAACCACAAACAGTTCATCTCACTACCAGATTCCATTGCAATGCAGTGCCTGCATAAACTTTGGGAAGGATGTATTAGCCCATCTTAGGCCATCATAAATGCAGGGGAGGGGGCATGAATATGCTTCTGTATATATTATTAGTTCTATAAATATGGTCTTTGACACTGCTGTACCCTTCTGTACCCTTCCATATGGTTCTTATTTGAAGTGTGATTTCACTCATTATATAACTTTACTTTTGTTACCAGATGCTTGGGTTAGTGGATCATCATGATAGCTAAATATAATGAGTCTGTTATTATTATTTTATTATTATATCTATTAAGGATGATACAGGGCTTTGGCCACCAATGTACTTAGCTGGGAAGAAATGTGTGTATTGTTGTGAATAAACCTTGATGCAGAAATGATCAAAGAACAGTCTTTCTGATGATCTTGAAAGCCATGTTACTGCTGAGTCAGACCTCATAAGATGTCTAAAAGCTTACCTTCTGATGAATGGACAGACTTTTGGAATTTAACTCTTCTAGTATGAAATAAGATTGTTCTAGTATGAAATAAGATTATCGTCCCCCAGTAGTTTCAGAACAGAACGTTTTGAAAGTACTTCTTAGAAGGCTGTTTTGATTTCTGTTGTCGTCTTATTAATTTCTGAGGGTAGCATACAAAACACTGGGCTTTCTTAGGCTCATTCAAACATGTGTCATGGAACTTTATCTTCTTCCCCCAGGACCCATGCTTTGCAGGGCCTTTCTTTCCAAAACAGTCACACCCTCAGCTCTCACACCACTTGCCCTCTGTACACTTTCTTTGCCCTTCCCACTGCTAGTTTTCTTCCACGCCCCCTTTGTCCCACCTTTCCACTTTCATCACACATAAACTTCAGCCTCGATTCTGCATATGAGAGGAAAAATGTGGTGTCTGTCCTTTTGAGTGTGGCTGGGTTCATTTTTCATGATGATCTCCAGCTTCACTCATTTCTCTGGAAGCATCATGGCTTCATCATGACATTCATCTGAAAAACATGCCCTTGTACATTCAACCACACTTATTTAAAGATTCATCTGTTGTTGGGCAGCTAGGGTGTCTCTGTTCCTTAGTTATTATGAAGAGTACAGGAATAAACATACATATGAAGCTATTTCTGTTGTGTGTACACCCAAGCTCTTTAGGTATACACTTGAGTGGGATATAATGGGGTCACATAATCGTTCTATTTCTTTGTTTGGAGAATCCCCCACCACTGACTACCAGAGTGCCTATACCAGTTTACTTTATCAGCAATGAATACATGGCCATTCTTCTTGCCAGAAATCCTTATAGCACTTGTTTATTTTCTTGATAGTAGCCAAGGAAGACTGTTGTGGGAGGATTATTTATACACTATGTGAGGGTGTATTGCTGTGATTGGTGTAACAAAAACCTGACTGGCCAATAGCTAGGCAGGAAGTATAGGTGGGACTTCCTGGGACAGAACACACTCCTGGAAGACGGTTGGAGTTGCCAGCCAGGTGGAGGGAAAACAGGAGATGCAAGGTGTAACAGACATGATGCCATGTGGCAGAACATAGATTAATATAAATGAATCAATTTAAGTTATGAGCACTAGTTGAGACAAGCCTAAGCTAAAAGCCAAGCTTTTATAATTGATAAGAAGTCTCCATGTCATTATTTGGGACTGGGGGCCAGAAAAGACTTCTTTGAGTGACATATTTTATTACCTCTCCCTTCCCTCCAGAAGTTCCTACAGTTTGTCGGTTAGAAACCCAAACATATCCCTGTGATAAACCCAATGTGCAGTCTTTCTTCAATCTGAGTACCATGACATGTGAAACTCTTAAGCCTAATCTGTGTAGCACGACTATGAACATATTCCCTGATGAAGATACTTGTAAGGACTTCTGTGAACCAAGGAAAGGTGAGTGCTTTAATTGTGGTGCTTCCATTGAGGTTTTATGGGAAAAATCAATAATCTGATCTGAAATTCCATGGTTTTCATGCCAGGAATTGCACAGTTATGTGATATTGCATGTGCTTGTGTATGTTTCTTGGGACTCAAACCTAGACTGTGTCAGTGTTCACAGCTACTGCCCTGAAGGAAACATTATGTCTTTATATTTCCATGTGTGGGTACAAGCTGAAGGTTAATAATGATGTGCAAAATTCTCAAGGCTGGACTTTTACAAAGCCATTAACAAAATGTTGCTATCTTTTCTCTTGTTTCTGGAGAACACCTATTGACCACCTCTAATTAGAAACTCTGAAATGTGAAAAACTTGAAAATCAGAAACTTTTTAGCACTAACCTTGCTTCACAAATGGAAATGTCCATACTTGACCTCAGCTGATGAGTAATAGTCAAAAAGTGGGCACACTAATGTTATTGCATTAAATTGTCTTCAAATCCTGCAAAGAAGGTGGATGTGAAACACAATGAACTTCTTATTTAGAATTTTATCCCAACACAAAGTGCTTATCTCATTATGTATATGCAAATGCTCCTAAAATTGAGAAACCCTAAAATATGAAACACTTCTGGTCCCAAGTATTTTTCAAATTATGGATATTCATATTGTACTAACCATATCTTCAATTCATATATAAAAAATAGAGGAAGGCATCCAGTGGATAGAAGGGTAGAACAAGGATGGGCATAATGCTTTTTTTTCTCGTATTTTCATGACTATATCTGCGTATGAAGAGGGAGCAGGTACTCTCTGAGACAAATAAATGAAGCAGTAGTGTTGGTGATGACAGGTGGGGAACGTGATGGGGGATATATACATGGAAGCCATATTGGAACCAATTTTTATACCAATATACACTAATAAATGCCAAGACATCAGAAGTGTTTGGAGGTACTTTTGTGTGAGACAGTGGCATAAATAGGATTAAAACTGGTAAAACTTCTGTACACTCTGATAATTACAAATTATATCAGAGTGGTTTTTGTGTCCTACTTTCCTTCTTCAGCCACTTCCACCAGATATAACAAAGACACATAGATCTTTCTTAAAAAGTTAAATCCTGAAGTCTTCTTTGGCAGTCTGTGAAAGGCCTCTGTGTAGAACATACAGAATTAAGTATTGAATGTATGTAAATGTTCCAGGGGTTGGTACCAGCCCAAGAGAGCTTGTCAAAGTATGCCACACACTGTCCTTTGAAACTTTGCCTATTTTGGCATGTCAAGTTAGATTAGGTGACACAACCTCAGAAAGTATTATGTTAGCTTATGAAATTAAGAAGGATGGATATGGGCAGTGTTAACTGGGGGAGATAGACAGTGATATAAACATATAGTATATATAAACATTCAATTTTTAAATTAATAAAAGATAGAAAGGTGAAAATGAAGCAGGTAACATTACCTCCCCAATAACCTGAGGCACACCTTCACACCTTTTTTTTTTTTTTTTTTTTTTTTTTTTATGATTCAGTTTTATTTTTTATTCAGTTTCAGAATGAGGCCTGTTTGGGATTTTCTTCCGCTAGCCCACTAATAACTATCACCATATCTTAGTTTGGTATTACTTCATTTCTAATTTCTTTCCTTTTTATGAAGTTCCATCATTTTGCTCCAGTCCCAGAGACGAAGGCCTTTGTGCTGCCAATGTGACGCGCTATTATTTTAATTCAAGAAACAAAACCTGTGAGACCTTCACCTACACTGGCTGTGGTGGGAATGAAAATAACTTTTATTACCTGGATGATTGTGACCGTGTTTGCATCAAAGGTAGTAAAGCTCTTCCTATTCAGTCATCAGGCAAAGGTGTTGAATAATTCAAAAGGAAAACTGTATTTTCAATATCCATTTTTTCTATTGCCAAATGGTCACTTCTAGACTAATCCTACAAAGACAGTACTTGTGTTCTAATTTGGTTTGTCAGAGACATATACTGGCCAGCTGTAGCAGACAATAGTCAAGGCCTCCCAGTTTCAAATGTACACCATTAGAAACTGAAAGCCTGATGAGCTGAACTGACTTTATAATCAGGATAGATAAAATAAAGGGAGATCCTAAGCATTCTGGGAAAATTGATTTACAGTGAGCATCAGAGTAAAGCCATATGGTGTTAATTGTTATTTTATTGTCTTTAGCCTCAAAGATGTCCAAAAAACGGAAGACAGGAAGTGGTTTCAGAATCAGAAGAAAGAACAGACGTTGGAAGCCACGTTTTTAAGCTTTTCTTATACTTGAGAAAACAAATCATTAGTCATTTGCGCATCTGATTTTACTGACATGTTACTTTTTAAAACCTATATATTTTTATTCTTAATGAGCCACTTTCCAAATGTGAAATGACACTTTTTTAATGTACTATCCAAATGTTTCAGTTATCAAGAATGAATGTGAACATGACTCAGCCAAATTCTTGGAGGAGTTAGCCCTAATTTCAGAGAACAATGGTTACTAAAATTGGGAAAGACAATATAATTGTGCAGTTTTTACATATATGAGAATGAACAAGAGTGGCAAAACCATATCATTGCCAACTTATGTTTGGATTATATTTTAGGCTCCAAGAGACAAGTTACTGATTTGTGAACACTTTAAACAATCAACCTAATGGTATTACTTATACCTTGCCAAGTGTACTTCAATTCCTATCTTGTCAGATTGCAATATGATTATGGAGAGCAGTTATTTCAAGTTATAATTATTATTGGAAGGATTTAAACTGTGAGTTAACTTAGGAAAACATAAACATTTTCCTAGAAAAAAAATAATTGCAAATGCAATTCTATGTCTCTTTATTTTTCCATACCTGACAAGTTAGCTATCTCTTTGACAATATGTGTTGGATTATTTCCTCAGACAAAACATTTTGGAGAACAATGATCTGTGTACCTGTAACATGTATCCTGCACCAAATGCATATATGATTTGGTAACTTGAATTTCACAAGTAAATTATGTTTTAAAGTGGGATTACAAGAAGGCAGTGTTTTTCTTTCTTAGTAAAAGGAAAATCAAAAACTGTAGTATGTCTTTCTAGTAAATTGAACATTTAAAAGTAACTCTTTAGCAAAATTACAAGATCATTCACTCTCTGCCTAAGATGGTGCTTGTCTGAAAACCTATCACAGTTATTTCGAAAAGACAGGTGTGCTTGAGAAGACTGGCTGATGCAGAAAACGGGAAACAAACTAGATGTATGAATGAGATTGGCTGGACAAGTGACACGTGAGCCATGAGCAGGGTGTCTGTGTGTGAGCATAACCAGACCCAAGAACACAGTGAGGAAATGGAGACTAGACAGCAAGAATACAACATACACATTGTCAGAAATCACAGAAGATACTGACAGGTTGAAAGTGATTATCTAGAACAGGATGGAGGCAGCAAAGAGTTAATGGACATGAGATACATTTGAGGTAAACGATCCTTCTGTAGTTTTGACTTTGGAACATTTTATATTTTACCTAAGTTTAAACAAGTTAAAGGAAAGAAATTAGGCATTTTTCGAACACTGAAAAAAATGTAGCCAAAACCCAGGCAAGTAATGAACAGTAAGTACAAAAAGAGATAATAGTCTTAGTTTGGGTGGATTTCAGAACCAGTACATGACCACAAATCTTTGGCAGAGAACAACCCAAGGGTCCAAAATTCTAAGGAAATCAGAGACAGTATTGAAACACTCTCTTACTGTGATTAATTATAGGAAAATTATGGTACTATATATTCAATACTTTCAAGAGAAAAATATGTAGAAGCATACATTTAAAAATTAAATACAAATCTTTCCACCCCCTTCTTTCTTTTATTCTCTCATACATTACATCCTAACCACAGTTCCCCGTCCCTCACTCTTGCCAGCCCCTTCTCTCCTCCCCAGACCCACTCTTCTCCCGTTTCCCTTCAAGAAAAAGAACAGACCTCCCGGGAGTATCAACCAAACACAGCATAACAAGTTATAATACGACTAGGCAAAAGCTCACATATCAAAGCTGGACACTGCAACTTAGTAGGAAGACAAGGTCCAAGAGAAGGCAAAGGTGTCAAAGATAACCCCCCTACTCTCACTGTTAGAATCTCCATAAGAACACCCAGCTACACAACCATAACATCTATGCAGAGGTCCCAGCTCAGACCCATGCAGAGTCCATGATTGTTGATTCAGACTCTGTGATCTCCTGTGAGACTTGTTTGGTTGATTATGTGGGCCATGTTCTCCTGGTGTCTTTGACCTATGGTTCCTGAGATTCCACCACCCCACCCCCCGCCCATCTACAGGGTTCCCTGGGCACCACCTAGTATTTGGCTGTGTCTTTACATCTGCTCCTGTCAGTTGCTGGATGACACCTCTCTGATGATAATTGGGGTGGACTCTGACCCCCATGTCTGGAAGCTTTTCCTGGTTATAGAAGATGACCTGTTCAGCCTCTGTATCCCTCATGAGTAGGAGTCCTCACCAGGGTCAATTTTGAAGATTCCAGGGAATTTCCACTGCACGAGGTTTCTACATCTCTCTGCGATTCCATTTGTCTTTCCCAGCACTCTCTCTTCACCCCTCCCTCTATCCCACCTGGTTCCTGCTCTTCCCATCCCCACCTGACCCAAAGTTTGAATTAAAAGCATTATTTTGAGCAAGACTTCATGTTTCTTTTAAGATACATGCTATTTCCTATCTTCCACTAAAATTCCTTAAATAATTGACAAGTAGCACTAAGCACACTTGCTCCTCACATTGTGTTCTCCTAATATTACATTTTATTAAAAAGAATTAGCACTCTTAGGAGAAGTCCCCAACCCCAAGTCTGACACAAGAACTATTCCGAGGAACCTGGGCTGTGTTGGTCTAAATTTCAAGGAAGGAATCAAAAGATGATGAATTATGTTAGAAAAACAGAAGAGTAACATTAAGTAGCTCACACTGACATAAAGGAAGACAATATGAGCATCAAAGAAAATAAGGACCTAATACCTAAACACATATAAATGTATAAGAACCTGCACATCTATAAAGCACACACACATGCACCTGAACAAATGTGCATATATAGTTACTTACAAACACATGCACACACAAAAGAAAAAAATGAGACCCCTAGTCAAGATGCTAGAACTTGTAATCAAATTTACCTATTGTAAAAAAAAAATATTGAAAGTAGATAAGCAAGTTAGCAGAAGTCAGGTAAGTGTTCAACCAAATCTGGTTTTCTATGAAACACTCTGGTGTCACCAGTTGATCATATTTTTAAAAGGGGGTGGGGTAGCAAGGAAATACACCCATACCTTAGCAACAAGAAAAAGTAAAAAAAGCTATTACAAACTTTTGTTTGGGTAAAGGCTGTGCTTGTAACTCTTCAGTGATTATAAAGCATAGAGATAACAAAAGAATCTTTCATGCTTTTGGGTTGTAGACTGAGAAATGCAGAGCCTTTAGGAATCCTGGGAGTTTCTAGATTCTCCATAAGGAACCTGATGTATTTGGTGTCATTACCACCCTATAGCCAAAGTCCTTAGGAGATCAAGATCCCAACACAACCTATGTGCACACATCTCTTCTGCATCACTTGGCAGAACTTGTACAGCCATTCACACGTAGAGGCTCAGGCCTCTGCCATTTCATTTAAAACATGTCAAGTATAACCATTATCTAACAATTAAGCACTAAAAATAAAGTAATTTTAAATTCAAAAGGGGGAAGGAAAGTTGAAGCCATCATGGTACACCCTCCATGCAAAAGGAAATTCCTTCTTACCACTCATTGTCGGAGTGAGAATACCTCCCCATTGTGTTTTCACCAGGCCGACTAATTAGAACGGCTGTCTCCTTTTTAACACAACACACACACACACACACACACACACACACACACACACACACACATACACACACACACACTATGCGCATGCCAGTGCATGCATATACTACCCAGGCATACTTAAACAAAAGGCATAAGGTGTTTATTTAAAGTAGTCTATGTTATGATTTGTATCTCCTTTATCACAAACATTTGTAACTACCATGGAAAATGACACAGAGCTTCCAATTACTTGTGCTATGCTATCCCCAAGTATTCATCTTGCCTCCAAGCCTTGTAGATTATTAACTAATGATTTTATCCTGTCCATGTTTGTTCTTGGGCTGGAGAAATTTTCACGATGGTTTAACTGGGAATAAACCCCTAGGATAACAATGGAGAAAACAAAATCCTCTTTCAGCCTGGTGAACTCCATTATGGTGGCAAGAATGATCTTCACAAGCGTGTGCTTCTATGAAAATGTGTCTTTCAAAAATTAAAAAAAAAAATACGTGGAAACATAAAAGTGCTAAGGTCTACTTTAAAAGTATCTGTGTATTATGATACGTTAGAGTTTGTGGAGATAAGCAAACATGAGAAGCAGAATCACTCAGAATAATTTATTTTCTCTTCAGTCACTAGCAATTATCTATCAAGTATATGTATTTAAGTTTGTTATGGCCATTCTTCTCTTATTCTAGGAAAATCAAAACAATCTGATTGCCTTGCTGATGAGGACCGCTTCACATCTAATTATCTGTACTAGTGCCAAGGTACTTTCACAGAAAAAATATCTGATCAGTCTATTCATTTGTTAAAACTCTGAAATGGTTTTCTATATATTAAATCATGCATGTGTGTATGTGTGTGAGTTGTACATATAAGTTCATGTTTATGCAAGTATGTACAAAGGTGGACATCACACTACTTTCTTGATCATTCTCCACCTTATTTTTTGAGAGAGGATCTTTTACTGAGGTGCATCACTTTGTACAGGCTGGCTGACCAATAAGCTCTAGAAATTCAACGTACACACACACAGGACACA